ATATTTTGGATTAAAACATTTTTTTAATAGTCTATAATAGTCTATATTATCCTAGCTATTTCACGTAAACCTTGTAACCCCCTCCTTTACGCAATACTTTTTCTATGACATACACATCCGGTTAAGTGGTACGATGCGGCTACAGTTAGTAAAATGCCCAAGCATTGTTGGGTCTAGAAGAAAAAAAATGGAGCGATGCAGTTACCGTTCGTAAAATGTCCAAGCATTGTTGGGTCTAGAAGAAAAAATGGTACGATGCAGTTACCGTTCGTAAAATGCCCAAACATTGTTGGGTCTAGAAGAAAAAATATTTGACAAATGTCTCGAACGTTGCATTTTTAATGGGAATCATAAAACTTAACATCTAGCAGTTTTCCATCAGAGAATCAGTCTTCAGTAGTTCGTAGAAGATCAGGAGGATGCCAATGAAGAAGGTAATAATACTTTTTATTACACTTTTAATTCTTTTATTTCATAGTCCTCTTATACAATTATTTTTTTCTAGATGCTCCACCAGCGATACATCCGTCACAATGTGAATGTTACATTTTATTTTAGATTTAAAAACTGTGATACTTTTATACTTCTCATGTAAATTGTATGTAAAAAATTTCTTGTATATATTCATACTTGTATTTTGTACAGCTGTTTGTTACACACATTTATATATATTTTGAATTAAAAAATTGTTTTCTTAAAAAGACTATATGATTAAACTACATTGTCCTTGTGTATCCAAGAATTGTGCGACTCATCAAATCCTAGCCATTTCACATAAACCTTGTCACCCCTCCTACGCAATATCTTTTCGACGAGATACACGTCGGGATAAGTTGCACGATGCAACTCGTACTCGTAGAACGCTCCAGCGACGGGTTCTTCACGATAATCCTCAAGTAGATAGGTTACAGGATTGGTGCGTTGTACTTTAACAATCTTACATAAATACCTCGGTGGTCCAATTTGGTGTATAACCCTTCTCGAAAATCGTTTTGTACTTGCTGACGCGCACCTGATCACCTATCTTGAACTTTGCAGGACCTGCAATTTTTACGTAGCTGTACACTGTTTTTAAGAGCCTGGCTGCGATTGCGGGGGTAACTTCGACGGGCCGCATGCTGATGGTGCGGTGCTTGCGCGCGTTGTACTCTGTGACGAGTCGCGGTAATAAATCCATCCACATGTAACTTCCGTTGAGCGTGAACATCT